ACTCCGCTTTTGCATAAATGATTCAGAACGAATAACATTGAGTTGGTGAAGAATTTTAATAATAAAATTTTCCCCGGACATTGGAATCCGACGCGTTCAGATTTTATCAAAGTTATATTCTGTCTGAAAATTCTGCATCTGATAGTTTTCCACAGTTATAACGTGGTATTTGAACAAGCCTATAAAATTAAAATATTCATGCAATAGCTTTCGTCGGGAATTAAAAGATAAGAAAGCAAATCTATGTGTTCTTCTAGACTACATCTATGTTAAATCATCGAGATCGGTTCAGCAGTTTAGGCTACAAAATCTACTAAACATCCATTCATCCATCTAAACTTCCGCATTCATAATATTAGTAAAAAGAAATACTAATTATTGCCCGCGACTTCGTATAAAACTTATTGCTAACAATTTAATATATTTTACATTTCAGTTATCAGTGCTCTTGTAAATTAAATTGGTTATCTGTTTAACCCTAATCAATGTATTGTCATGAAAGATAAATTGTTTGTTAAGGTTTACAGTATTTCAATTCTATATTTATCAATAAATAGAACCACTTAAAATAGTATTTACACGAGAAATAAGTTGCAAGATTTTTACTCGTAATTACAATTTATTTCTGACTGTATTATAACATGACCAGCTTTAGCCCGCGACTCCGTCCGAGTGGTATTAAAAAAAATACCAAGTAGCCTATGTGTTCTTCCAGACAATCCTCTATATCTATGCCAAATTTCATTATGATCCGTTCAGCCGTTTATACTACAATTCTAACAAACATCCATCCATCTAAACTTTCACATTTGTAATAATAGTATGAAGTATGATTTCAAATTAATTAGTAACATAAATAGCGTTAGTTGATTGTTGTCGCATGATATTTGCAAACATCCAAGATTACATTTGGTCAATATCCCTTTGGTAATAGATTGTGTCAATATTGGAAGAACAATACACACGAAGGCTGAGTAAATACGATTTCTTGATTGAACGTATATCAAAACATTTGGTAAATAAAACATCGTAAGAAGAGAATAGAAAGTATACGAATGAAAAGATTGATATATTAAGCATTTGATTTTGTAAAAAGATTCTGTACGTCTTTTAAATATTATCATAATTTGGCAAATTTAACCTTGCTCAGAATGCAAAAAATTCTTTATATTGTCGTCTTACACTAAGAGATTTCTGATGATAAATGTTGAACATATCCATCATCATAATCACTTGCCCTTGTCCTTACGGAGGGTCGGCACTGTGTGCTGCTCTTCTGCACATTTCTATCAGCCGTCATATGTATCTGAATCCACTCCGTTCTTAACCATATCCACTTTCACACAAACGTTGAACACTGAAATGTTGAACTGAATCCGGAGGAACCAATTTTTTTCTCCTTGTTATAATCTTACTAATATTATTAATGCGAAAGTTTAGATGGATGGATGGATGTTTGTTAGAGTTTGTAGCCTAAACGGCTGAAGGGATCTCAATGAAATTTGACATAGATGTAAAGGATAGCCTAGATTAATACATAGGCTACTTGCATTTGTTTTTTCTTTTATTCCACGAGGACGGAGTCGCGAGCGAAAGCTAGTAGTGTGAGTAACTAATTTTATTTTTAAATATAAAAAAAATATTCTTACATTACAAGTGATAGATCTCCTCGTCTAAAATAAGAGTAAAGCCTGTAATCAAAATTCCAGACATCATTGCCGGAGGTGCTTTAGAATACTTTATAAAATGATCCGCCCAGTTCATTATGCTGTGAACTTTAAGCTTAATTATAAAGTTCGCTGCAAGCATACGAGTCAGCTACTTAAACATTGCTTTAAAACTTAACATTATGCTAAAGTTTTCAGCAGTTTTACCTGATGTTACTTTTTGCTTGTAAAAATTATCCTGCTTCAGTAAGGTCAGCATACCAAGTGTTCGTCCTCCAACTAACTTTGTCATCCGTCATCTCAGTCATCACTCCCTTCTTGATCATGTCACCTTTCATCCAATCCATCCTTCTTTCTAGTTTTACCTCTTACGGTGTAGCTCCACACTAACTAACGTTCTTCTGGTTACAATACAATACTATACTAAGGGTGAGTTGCATCAAATCGCTGGTTATCGTAAAAGTTATAATAGGGTTACAAGTGCAAAAACATATTCTCACAGAGGTTTTATGTGTTTTTCGTTTTTACAATGGAAACATTTAAACCTGAATGTCACTAAAGTGTCAAGTTGGTGTCAAGAATGACATTTACGTAAATTGAAATGTTTGGAAATACATGTTTCGCCGATTATATTTATATATCATACGCATGGTATTTTATAGTGAAATAAACTTTTTGCCCACGAAGATGGAGAAAATGGCAAACTCTTGTGAAAATAAACTAGTTTGGGCCATTATTGAAACTGTATTTACTTTACTACTCAAATATGTAGCAAAAATGAAGCAATAAAATTATACAAATATAAATGCATCTTATTTATTTTCCATATTATAAATTGTCCTGTCAATGCATATTATAAATTGTCCTTTTATGGAGGACATTTTTTTAAATAAGAGAAAAGGGACAAGCGCTGTTGCTATGGCCTTAGACACTCGAAATTTGTCCAAACTGAATGTTTGGCCAAATTTCGAGTTCCATCTTGGAAATCCATTATTTCCGAGCACGCAAGACTTTATTCTTCTGGATTACGTATAGGATAATAGTAGAGATTTTCGTTTTCCATTACTTTTTCCATTATTTGTGCTTTTGAAGATAAGAGCTTGTGACAGTTGACACTACCGAACTGACACTAACCGTAACGCTAACTATAACCGCCCAAAATCGGGCGGTTATGATTAGTGTCAAATATGACGTCATTTTGACCAGCGCAAAACTGGTGTAGCGAATATCATGAACATCCGAAGACGTAACCATCGGGAATGTGCTGGTTAAGGTTTATAGTTAGTTAATGTAACTCACCCTTAGTAAATTTTAAGGTTATTCCAAATATTACTGTTACAAATAATTTTAACTTTAACGGTAACCGGCGATATGGTGCAACTCACCCTAAGCTTTTCATAAATGTTTACTTTAACAATGTCAATTTTCTCTTAATAAGTTTAATATTTGTAGATAGAGTAGAATTTCGTCACTCAATAAAGCGCTAACATAAAGGTAAAGATCCCCGTTACATTCTTAATTAGTTTTTTTTTTTAATTGGAGACAACATTTTGTAAAATGTGGAACAAATTTTACAAATGTAAATATTAACATTTACATTAAAAGAATCTTTTCTATTAATTAAAAATCCTCTCTAAGCTGAAGTAGATCCTATAAACTATAGGATGGCTTTCATATCGCAAGACTGCAGACCTCGTCTGGACAAACGCGCCCCGAGCGCTCGACCCATTCACTCAGTGCGCCTTTCAGCGATACGCTCTGTTTTAACAACTCTAGGTATTAATGTTAGCTACATATAAATTGTCATACTTACCATGGAATTCTCGTAATTTTAAAATCGAGGGAATAAATAACAAAGTTTTTAATCTTGTACATGGAAATTAAATTTGAACTTAATTAAGTACCCTAGTTTCTAGATTTTAGTCCCTTTCCATCCTTTTCTTAAGAGGAAAGGATGGGAAGGAAAAGTGGAGGAGACGCATAGGAAAGGGAAACGTCCTCTTTATGTGCGTCTCCTCCTCTGGTAATTAAGGTAACGCATTTGCAATTGCGGATGTATACAAGCAGCGGTCGCTTTCCATTTCGCTGGATTCAGGTGGTCGCTTGCTCGTTTCCCACCGTATATTATAAAAAAAATAGATTCCTCGCCAATGGACTTCCAGCATAAATTCTACTACGTTTGATACGGTGTTTTCAAACTACCCACGAATGCGAGAAGTCCTAAGGAGATGGAGTACCTATATCTACATAAATTGTATAAAATATATCTGATAAAACAAACAATTGTACTAATCAAATGTATTATTTGAAATTAATAAAAAAAACTAATCAAGATTGTTGTAAAATCTTAAACTTTTTTTACTATCTAGTTATTTATCGAATTTGAGGTCCTGTAGTGCACCTTCGTGTAAATTAAATGTTACTTTAAAACAAATTTATTAGTCAAAATTTTAGTTCGAGTGAACTTATTCACTGCGCTCAGAAACCAGCTCAAACTTCGAAAGCAAATGCGCTTCCAACAACAAACTTATATAACTTTGCTCGAATCTTTTCCATATAAAATAATTTATCACTTTGTTTGCAAGAGTGCAATGAAATATTAGTTGGGGACATTTAGAGACCCATTAATTATATCTACTATGAAAAGTATTTCTATAATACAAATGAATTAAAAGTAGGAACTAAAATGCCTGTACAAAAATAATAGCAATAGTGTATTATTACCAAATAATTTTCCCTTAATTCTCGTCTTTCATCGTACGACTACGATTTAAGACAAAAATATGAATTCGTATTGAATTGTAATATCTTATTTGTATAATTTAATATCAGAAAGACATAATAAGTTTATACTATACTACATTTTTTAATCACACGCAATCGACCCACTAGCCTATCTCTATTGTAAGCTTCTGATAAAGCACACATGTTCGACGCTAACTCGAGATCTACAATCTACATCATCCTGTTTCATGTAGGTTACGTTTAATTACATCCAGCGGTTAACCTAAGACCGCGTTCATATTGTTACCACCGCATTTGAGTGACCAGCACTGTATATAACCTTCCACATGCAGTTCGTGATAACAAAAAATAAATGATAAAATACAACATTAGTTACAATAAAACCTCAAGAAGTCTATATGTTCGTCCAGACTATCTTACATCTGGGCCACATTTAGACAAAATCTGCTGAACTGGTTCTACTATCTGATACCTTCCAATAACCTGGAACCTCCTAAACATTCATACATACGTTCGCATTAATCATATTATTATATTAGTATCATTTATCATATTAGTAAAGAGTATAATAATTTAAAGTCATTTTTATTGATGTATTTCTTTATTTATGTTTCAATTTTATAACAATGATAAATAGAAAATTCCAGCAAACGTCAGGAGTCCCAGAATTGCGATAAGCATTTTGAAAATCTGTAAAAAATCATAAAATTTGTTACGATATCTTAATTTAGTAGTAGACATGTAACTACTTTTAAAATATTTTTTTTGAGATAACCTAACATAAGTAAATACTTACCTTGTCTTGAAACTTTCGGTTTTTCACGCATTGACTGTATGGCATATTTGTGAACGATACCGAATTATACAATGGGACCCATAAATTTGGTATCAGCCAAAATAGAAAATCATCAATTGATTTACGGAACAGATATGAAGGTCGAGTAACCAAATCTCTCATCTGGAAGAGAAACATTAAATTAAATTACGATTTCAAGATAAATTAACAACTATCTGTTGCCCGCGACTTCGTCCACGCAATATTAAGAAAAAAGCAGCCTATAAATTGCCCGTCTATGTTAGCTACCCTTCAGTGAAGTCCGGTGAAATCGGCCCAACGGAGATTACCCTGAACAAACGCGGCTTGCGGACAGACAAACAGACAGACCGACAAAAATATTTTCAATAGTAGTCGGGAGGTGATTTTCCTTATGATCAATGTAAATAAATTATCTTACCGAAATATGTTTTTTTTTATTTTATTTTAATACTGCAGACATTCAAATTTCATTATATGTATAGATAAATTCTCGCTATATTAATCTTACCTCCACGTAATTATACATAGCTAAATCACTTATAGCAAACACGTCTACCCATCTTGTAGCGGAGAATTCGTTAAGGATATTTTTGAGGTTATCATTGTATTTTTGGAATAACTCGTCGAGTATAGTACAGTCCTCGAATCCACAATTCATTCCTTGACCGTAGAATGGTACGACAGCATGCGCGGCGTCGCCGATCAGAAGAGCTTTGTCATTGACATGATATGGTCGACACTGAAATTAACAAATTAATATTTTAAAGTTAAAATCCTACAATAACTAATAAGTTAAAAGTAAAAAGTAATTTACCTTTACTGAAACTAATGGTAATGCGGATCCAGAGAAGAAGTCTTCTATTAATTTTTTCTTCCCAATCAATGGTATTGCATCAGAGAAATATTTCCCAAAGAAATTCAAAAGTTTCTCTTCAGTGTCGATTTCATTGAACTTCGCAAACGGCATGAAGAGTGTGACAGTCCAAGTACGATCTTGATTTGGTAAAGCAATCAACATGAAGTTTCCTCTTGGCCAAATATGTAAATACTGAGAAGGCATCTGAAACTGTAATACAAAGTACTTGAATATTAAGCAAGCAATTATCAATAATTGTTAGGGACAATTAATCATAGGATATGCCAGTTACGGATAAATCCACATCATTAGGACATCGTCAATCACTCGTGTTTGTATTTGTACACGTTAACTGAATATTTCGCTGTAACTACGTATTTGATATTTGTGCGTGAAGACGGTGCTAGTTAAGATGAGACTATGTTTTACTTGGATTGTTTCATTATTGGTTCCTTTAGTATATGCTCAAACAAATGAATATCAAAAATTTTTTCTTGCCAGTAATTATTATCATGAAAATTATGAGTGCATTAATAACATATTGAAAAATCATTTTACATGCAAAAACCGAATTACCCTTGTATATTCTAACGCCGATGTCGACTATTTAATAAAAAGGATTAACCTTCAGGATTGCTATAGTTTCAGAATACGTAATTTTACATCTGAAAATGCACTTCTAGGAACGAAGATCTATGTCATTATAGCACAAGACGTTCAAGAATTTGCAAGCGGTCTAAAACAGCTGACAAGAGACGTCCTTTGGAATCCAAGAGCAACTTTTATTGTTCAGATAACAAAAATTACTGAGGAGCATTTGAAAACAGTTTTTAACATATTTGTAGATCAAAAAATGTATAAAGTTATTTTACTTAATTACGTGAATCCTGAGAAAACTGAAATATTTACTTATTTTCCATTTAAAAAGAATAATTGTGGAGAGACATTTGATGAAATTCTTAATCTAGGATTATGTCGAGACATAAACGATATTAGCGAATTGTTTCCTGAAAATGTGCAGTATTCACTACGTAATTGTGTAGTCAAAGTCGCAGCTAAGGAAGATATTCCAATTGTAATACTAAAATCAAGCAATTACACTGTTTTTGGTAAATACGTTATGGGCTTAGAACAATATCTGCTAGAGACTATTGCTGCTGTGGAAGGATTTACAATAGAATATGAATACTACGATGCTGATACAATGTATGGAGTAGTTTTACCCAACAGGACTACAACTGGACTTCTAGGAAAACTGCAAGATGGTAAAGTAAGTATAGCAGCAGGTGGTTTTGTCTTGATTCAAAATCGGGTCGAAGTATTTGATTACATATGGGGTTACCACTATGCTGATTTAATTTTGCTCACCCCAACTATAAAAGAAAACATTTGGAAAAAAGTTTACCGTGAATTTGGAATAAAAACATGGCTTTTAATAATACTTGCTTATGTATTTATGATTTCTTTTATGGCAACCTCCCGAGTAATATTGACAACCGAAGAACCCGAAATTTCAATGTTGAGCATAAAACTTTGCGCTTATTTTTATGGACACAGCGACGACAGATTATTCAAAAATACGAAGCCGAAAGTCATAATTGTACTATGGGCGTTGTTTACTTTCTTCATTAATAGTTTCTACAATACAGCATATTATAGTCTAGTTGCCGGAAATGTTAAAGACGAAAGAACATTTGACACTGATGATTTAAAAACCCTGCCATATGAACCTTGTGTAAGTGACACAATGAGAACATTATTTCTATACGCTTACAATATTACCCTTCCAAAAGGTATTGCTAATCCAGATTGTAGTTTTACAGAAAGTGCAATGAATACTGTCGCTTCGAGAAAAGATGTTTACGCAATAGAGATGAACTACAGTTATAGATTAAGAGAATTTATGTATATAGACAATGATGGAAACCATTTGGTAGATGCTTCGGATTTCTCTTACGATTCTGTAATGACCATTTATGCGACTCGGGGATTTCCGTTGAAAGGTGAATTACAAAAATACGCCTTTTATATGTACGAAGCAGGGTTATTGCAGAGGCAATTACATATAATTTATATAAAAAATCTAAACTCAATGAAAAATCGGAATCGGAGTTATAAAAAAATTAGTCTAACAGATTTTAGAATTCATTTTGCTGTTCTTATTAATGGAAGTATAATTTCTTTGTTTTCTTTTCTTTGTGAGAGATTTAGAAGGAAAAGTAGGTTCTATTTTACAAACTAATTTGACGTGGATAAGCTGAAGAATGCAATACTAAGTAAATAGTTAAATAGCTTAGTTATTCCTGTCCTTTTAATATCCACTATAGTTTGTTAGAAATGAAAATAAACAATTGAAAAAGTCTATTCCTTTTTGTTTTTTTAGAAGTTCTTCTAAAATGAGTAATCTCTTACCTCGCCGTCATCTCCGGGTGGTATGCATAATTCCATATAACCGTGTTCGATATACTTTTGACTGTAATCGAATAGAGGTTCCTTCATCATTGCTTTACGTACTGCGGAATATGCACCGTCCGAGCCTATTATTAAATCTGCATTCACTTCTACTGTTTCATTAGTCTGTGTTCTGAAATTTATAAGAAATGAGAAAAAACACATAAAACGTGTTATTCGAGCTCTTTGATATTTTTTACTTTGTTTATGCATAAAATATTCAAATCTATACTTACTTTTGAAATGTAAGAAAACCTTTTTGTAGATTTGCGTTGATTAATTTATGATTAAAGTGTTTCTCTACATTTTTATATTTCTCCGATTCTGTAAATTAATATATTCAAATTAATTAAAAATGTGCAAGTAATTAAGTAGCTAATTTTTGTTATTAGACATCTTCGCTTTAGTATATATAAAAATCACATTGTTTTATTTATTTACAATGTATATTTTATTGTTACAGATGAATTAATTCTTTGTAAATCAAGGTATTTTGTGTATTCTTTACTGGTAATAATCTAGTTAATAGTAGATATAATTAAAATAACATTAAATGTTAACTATTTAACATTTAACAAACGTTAATTAAATTTAACCAGCACCGCATGAGTCAGAGGTTTAATTAAATCGCTTGTTGAACGAAATGCCTGCATTATTAAGTGATAATTACACTATGCCAATCATTCTGAAATGCAAATAATAATTACTTGACACAATATAAATTAATTAAAAAACATTAAATTTCACCAACCTTTTAATAGTAGGGAGTTCAAGAAGTTCCGACCAACAGAGTAAATACACTGAAAACAAAAGAATAGTAGAAAAATCCAGAATAAAAAAAACAACATAAAAACAAAAGAACACTAAAATAAATGAAGAACGGAGTAGTATTTAAAAAGTATGAACATATACTTCAATAAAAAAACTTAATTTTATCATAATCATTAGTTACAATTTGATTTTTTAATTATTTTTCTAATAATAAACATAAAATTAAATAAAACAACTTTATAGGTTTCTCCTATTAGTAGTTGACTGTCCAAACTATGGTGGTGCGTTGTCTGATAGATCAATATTACAAAGAAGTCGTTTACTTTTTTAAGCAATCTTTACCTGATTAGTCCTTGAATCATAAGGTATGATATACGTGGAGCCATCGAGCCTGTGTATATACCGACCGACCATAGGTATGCCGTGTTCTTGTACCATTTGCTGCTCCAAACCTACTCCTCGCAGCGCCTTCCTACCGCGGACTGATAATGCCAAGTTAATAGACCTCCCTCTAGCAGTTGGGGTATTTCGTATGTCTGGAAAATATTACATCCGCCTAATAATTATTCAAGCATGCAGTATTGCGATGGTTACGGATACCGAAATTAAATTACACAGTGGGTTTGTATACTTTTATTGGACTATTGTAAACAAGATTTAAGCTTAGTTGAAAATGACAAAATATTTTTTTAAAGCTTTAGTAACCTAATATTCTCGATCTTTAAAAAGCAGACAGTATACTATGTTGTAAATGAAACCTGCTTTATGTAGATGTTGCAGTGTAAGACTGGCTGTCTAGGATAATTTTAATAATGACATATGTTTGATGTTCAGTTAGTTGTTCGAAAATAAAAAAAAGAACTTGTTATGTATAGTGAAAAAATAATATCTTATTTTTTGTATACACTTGTATTAATATAAATTTAAATGTGAATAAATAACAAACTTTATTTATTTTATCATTTTGTGTGCTGGTGAAGCAAATTCCTATCACTACACTAAACCTAGCTTTAGTAAGTTCTTAGTTTTTAATCATCTTTACAAGCAATGTAGAGCCGAAACTGAAGAATAGACTTAATTAACCAATTAACCTATTGTCAAGATCACTATTGGACATATTCTATCATAGATTCGATTCCAATGACAATATTGGTTAATTTAAGAGATAATAATTAATTTGACCTTCATGTTTCTGTATAGGTTATATTAAAACTCTCCTAGATGTTTTTGGAGTCATCAAATGGATTAGAACCTATGGTCTATACTCTTCAGCCTTATTTTAAACATTGCTATTGGCTATTTGTTTTAATTTGCCATTATAGAAAAAGTTATTGACATTTTTACAATAAACCTAGTCTATCCATTTAAAGTCCTTTACAGATTAATATTTAATGTACTAGACGAGTCTAAGATAAAATAAATTTAATAAAAATCTATATTTTACATTAAAAAACCACTTAGCTATGGTATTCCAATAAATTACTCCTTTGATATTACATACTTAACAATTTTTGACTGTCGTTTTAAATTTAAATTGATAATTCATGTTAATGTATCAATTAATAACTTGTTGACTGTCGGCACGTGGCTAAAGGCCGGCTCACCTTCACGATACTCGTACAGCCGTACGCGATGACCCCTCTTGGCCAAATACAAAGCTTCCAATGATCCGACCTGTCAAAGAAATATTTTATAGACCGTTATCATTAATACCTACTAACTGTCAGACGATCATTCTTAATTAGGTGTTTTTTGCTTGTAAACATTTCAATAGGCTTATACTAGTTTTCTAGCCACTTCGCCCGCGTGAAATTAAAAAAAATAATACAAAATATAGCCTATGTTACTCACAGATAAATTACCTTTCTAATGGTGAAAGAATTTTTAAAATCGACCCAGCAGTTTTTGCGTAAATCAAATACATACAATAATATAAATTTTTCATCTTTATAATATTAGTATAGAACACAAAATGTCTATGGTATGATCCAGGCAGAAGTTTGTCTATGACTTGAGAGTTGTAAAAGATACACACCAATAGCGTTAAAATTATACTACTAGCTTTAACCCACAAAACCATCAACATGGATTTAAAAAAAGTAAGTAGCCTATGGGTTCTTCATACATCTATGACTTTCGACGTCATCTGTTTTTAGTTTAGGCCACAAACTCTAACAGACATCCATCCGTCTGAACTTTCGCATGTATAATATTAGTAAGAATTATGTTTTCAAATTATGGTATTTTATCTTAACAAGAAGCACAGCATAGCATAGCTTTTTCAATCTCATGTTATTCCGCTCGCGTAGTACTCCTTTTTTCTTCTTATAAACAAAACTTCACACCAATATTTAAATTATTATCTTAATGTAACAAATTACGTACAGAATTTTCCACTCGCTTTGCGAACTAAACAATTTATTTTCTTGATACGTGTGATGTTTATATTCATAGAAATATTATAGTTGACCTTTATGTAACACTTTCGAGTTTATGCTCCATAATATGAGAACATTTGTTGATTATTAATAAAACATAACTTAATAAACTTTTCATATGAAAAGAGTTGTTTTTAATTTGAAGTGAGCTTTTTTTTTCTTGCGTAATGTAGTTAAAATATGGATACCAGCACAGAATAACCGGTTTACTATTATTAATTATAATAATTGTTGAGTAAACATTATTAAAATATAATTACTATTAGTAAAAACATAAATGTAAATGCAATTAGTATTCTAGCAACTTTTGGAGTAAATTATTTGCAATCGCTTAAGAAAATACCAGTCTCGAAAGAATTATGTGAAAAATCATGCACAAACAGATAATAGATTTGAATAATTTCCATGCAATATATTTAATCGGTATAAGATTTCATTAAATTAAAATAATAACATTATTTTATTATTCTTTATCATCGTAAAAAATTGATTTAAATAAAATAAATCTTATCTTACTAGTATGTCTATAATATATTATATTATCTTACTAATCTTACTAATATTATAAATGCGAAAGTTTAGATGGATGGATGTTTGTTAGAGTTTGTAGCCTAAACGGCTGAACGGATCTAGATGAAATTTGGCACAGATGTAAAGCATAGTCTGGAAGGACACATAGGCTACCTACTTTTGTTTTTTTTACTCAACACTGACGGAGTTGCGCGTGAAAGCTAGTATAATCTAAATGCGAAAGTTTAGATGGATGTTTGTTAGGGTTTGTAGCCTAAACTACTGAACGGATCACAATGAATTTTGTACATAGATGTAGAGGATATCCTGAAAGAACACATGGGCTACTTTTTTTTAATCTACGCAGACGGAGTCGTGGGCTAAAGCTAGTGTAGTATAAGACCGTTCCTTTAGCGTAGATATTGCGTAAGATTTCACAATTATAATATAGTCTATGAAAAACTTAATATATTCTAATTGAATAGTTACTAATGTTGATATTCCTTTCTAAATATAACTTTTAAAACTTGTTAAAAAGGTCTAAAAATATAAAAAAAAACTAGTTTCATAATTTAATTTACTTATAGATTAAAGTTTATACAAGGAAATGTCTTATATACTACTAGCTGCTGCTCGCGACTTCGTCCGCGGGAAATTAAAAATTAATGAAAGAGACCTGTTACTCACTGATACCGTAGCTTTTTAATGGTGAAATATTTTTTGAAATCAGTCTAGTTTTTTTTGAGTTACATACAAAATACAAATCTTTCGTCTTTATAAAATAAGTATAGACTAAATAATTGAAGTCTTAAATATTTTGTTGATTTAATGAACAATTAAAAATGAAATTAAAAAAATACTTACCAATCCTCCTCCTACTATAACAATATCTAAGGGTTTATTCTTACGTCCATTTTGATACGTTGCCATTTTTTTATTCAAATAAAAATCCTTAAAACCGTTTTCAGTTTTTAACTTTCAATTAACAAATATGTATAAAAATATTTAATGATGATAATTATTTATTTCAACGAATTAACTTGGATATATCGAGAGCGATGTATGTCGGAAGTGATCGAGAAGTGAACTGAACGTGTATCGTTCACGGGACATCCTCGCCTTACACTGCATCTAGGGTTGCCAACTTTCAATAAACGTACACAGCCGGCGAAAATAAAAACTACCAGTTTTGTACCAGACGAAGAAAAAACAACCAATCATGTGTTTGCCACCTACGAACGTTAAATCTATAGCTCAAATCTATCATGTTAATCCGAAGAGTGGCAACCCTAACATACCACGTGCATGAGTGAGAATTCAGAATAACAACCCGTCTTGCATGTTACACGACATTTCATTGATGCAATAATAATTATATTAAGTAATTATTCGATAAAGACTGTGAAAAGTAAATATGATAAAATATACAATTTTAATGATAATTTGTTGTTTTATTTCTAAGATAAAAGCTCTGATATATGTTTCTGTCTGTTGTCTGATGAGAATTGTTTCTGTCGCCTTTATAATTTTGCTTTAAATTCAGTTTTTAAAAAAAGGTTTCTAATGATTTTAATCGACCTTACGCATCTGTGTAACCTTTGAGGATGTATTTAGATTTTATTAAATTAAAATCAAAATCAAAATGCAAAAAAGTTAATTGAAAACATGGGTCCTGTCCCACCACTTGCTGATAGAGACTCGGATAGCTTAAAAATAACGTCACTGTCATTTTGTTATCAGACAATTTACAATCCGGAGGACTAACTTATAGTGTCTTAAATGATATTTTTCAAATTGTTGCTTTTTTAATCAGTATTTTATGTTTTATGTTACAATTTTTTTTCCTTATATCTTAAACATCTACCACTTGGCCTCGACTTTGTCCAATCTAAATGTTACTCAATACAATGATTACAGCTCTTAATTGACACATTATGCCACACATTATGCATATAGATTACCATCATTTACGTCAATACATTTCTTTGAGCCATAAAAACTAGCGAGATAATCTTACTAATATTATAAATGCGAAAGTTTAGAGCGATGGATGTTTGTTACAGTTTGAAGTCTAAATGGCTGAACGGATTTCGATGAAATTTGGCATAGACGTAGAGAATAGTCTGAAACACATAGGGTACTCGACTAAATTACTAGCTTTTGTTTTTTTAACTTCACGCGGACGGAGTCACGGGCGAAAATTGTTATATAAAACCCGTTATTGATTATACTACGTTTGATGAAAAAAGTTTTAGGCAAGCTTTTTATGATGTGACCATAATAAAATAATCCTAAAAAAAGGAACGAAAATATGACTGAGTTTTATGATCACGATGGAATTCAAAAATGGAAAAAACATCCTGACCTTGCTCAATATAAGGCTACCTAAGGCGACCTAAGGCTGCGTAAGCGTAGGTAATACCTTCGATGACTTTAGGAACCGAAATCCTAAAAAAATATAAATGGTTTTTGGTTTATCTGTCAACCTCTCTTAAAACTAGAGTAACCATTCAAAACATTATTTTGCTACGTTTCATTTTCCAAAAGCAAAGGCATTATTTTTTGTCTCGAGTTATCTCGTAGTAAGGAAATTTTTCAAGGTGAAGCCAACAAGCACTTTGGTTAGTTGTTTTAATAATTTATTCTGAAGATTAAGAATCAAAATTCACTTGCAAGTAAAAAGTGTAAGCCTCTAAAGGCCACTTTCATTTTTTGTAATTTTTCTGCGGTCAATAAACTCCAAACTGGTTCTGTCAGATGTCCAAATCGCAAGAGCAAGGAGTTAATCACTTTGAGTCCTTAGTTGTAAGTATTACCATGATTACTAAGTACTGGCTACCGAATTCAAGTGAATGTTTTTGTCCTGTTAAAAGAAGAATGTTTATCCTCAAAGTATCACAGTGTCAAGTCGACATGGCTGAAGATTTTCATATTGCGAGCTCTGATTAACAAAAAAACTATTTATTTTTCTTGACATTCTTGTATTCGTAGTTGAAGAATAGTAATCTAATATTTCAACTTAATTCTTACAGTGTAAATCGTCTAACCTCAATTAATGCTAAGACAATGCAACAAAATACTAATTAAATAATGAAATTATACCTAACTGAAACATGATTCCTGACATTCGAGACAAATCCGTCGTTTCAAGTTACTTCTACGCGGTTTATGGTCCACTGCTTAGTAGGATTTCATTATTGTTTGTTTATGTTTTAAGAAGTACTTTCAATTAATTGAAGTATAATTATAATAAACCTTTGCGAAATTATTCAATTGTTTATCCATTAATTGAAAAATAAAAACGTCGAAAATCAGCTCTTCTAATATTGTTTATAAACATTTTAGACTCCATTGTGGAAGTCGGTGTGCCATGCACTATCACACTTTCATACTATCTTACTAATATTATAAATGCGTAAGTTTAGATGGATGGATGGATGCATAGATGTTAGTCAGAGTTTGTAGCCTAAACGGCTGAACTATTTCGATGAAATTTTGTATAGATGTAGAGGTTAATCTGGAATTAGTAATTAATAATCTTAATTCCACGAGGACGGAGTCGCTGGCGTAAGTTAGTACCAAATAAAGTATACACTCATGACTATGTTTACGTTGTTTTATAAAAATAACTTAACAAAATTAACATGTAAGATAAAACCTTGAATCTTACGTATTATCGGTTATCGTACGGAAATAATATGACTTAATAGCTTCACCATTATAAAGCCAAGTTTATTCAAATTTTCTAAGTTGTAACTTTGGGTGTTGTTTGTGTCTACGTAGTTAAAATTAATGAATCTCTTACATAACGTATCCTTTAACACTAACTGCGCTCAAAATCGTTAACATATTTACTGAAAAAATGTATAGAAAACAGTAAACTGTTTTTTTTTCTTTTTTAGTGTTACCACTTAAAAGTAATTAGAAAGATAATTGATTTAAACGGTTTTTCCTACATAAAATACTTTATTTAATATCACATCTTTTTAATATTATGAGTTTAAAATAAAATAACAAGCTAACAACGCAAAGGATTTCCGTCATACCCGCAAAGTTCAAGTACTAATACGGTTAATTGGATTTTGTCGGCATTTGCTGAGAACTGATAGGTTTATTGGCGCTCGCGCGAGTTCGCGTTCAATCGAAGTTAATTATCAGATAAAATGTAACAGAATATTCAAGTATTCATTTGCAACTAATAGAATTAAACGCTTTCTTCAATGTTGCTATCGTTTGTAAAGATAATAAAATCACTATGTAGTCAATTTTTATCGCATTCTATGTGTAAACTTACTAATTACTTTTAGTAATTAGTAGTTGATATTATGGGTCAAATCCCATTGTCAAAACATCAGGAAGAAGTTTTAAGGTCACTCAAAGGTCACCTGAATGTATAGTTTGTATTTTATATGTGGATTTGGATCGAAATCTATGTGATCCAAATTCGTAAGAAGTCTTTGGTGTTAAGCCCACTACACAGGCTCAGTTTTATCTGACAGATTTATCAGAATGATCGATCGTTCTGGTTATCTGTCAGATAAAACTGAGCTTGTATAACGGGCTTTAATATTTTAAGTGGAAGTAAAAATAATATTTAATAAATTTGCAAATTATTTATTTTGATTAATAAAAAAAATGTCTTATTTTTATAACCATTAGAAAATTTATCTTATCTATTATAGTGATTTATTCTTAAATTAGAAACTCATATTCGAGGGCATCGATGAAACATCGTCAGAGGGACTTTGGCTGGAACTGAAAGAGCTGAGGGTTTCTCGTGTTTCCTCTTTTATCTTGAGCTGGTCAGTGGTGGAGGGCGGCCGAGGATGTAATAACTTGTCTTTATCTTTCGAAGACTTATCTTTGCTGCTATGTTTGTGCTTGTGTTTATGTTTGTGCTTCTTCTTTTCCTTCTTCTTCTTTTTAGCCTGGGAAAGATGCCGGTTTAAATTTATTATAGAGTTCCACACAATATGATACAACGGTAACAGATGTTTTTAATTTTGTCAAAAAATTGATAAACCATCGGGATCGCCGAGGGGTGCAGGGGGATAGCTGCCTAGAGTGCATATGCTAAAAAAAAACCATATAGGTAAACTCAAAAATGACTTGTAAGTTTTAATTGAACCAAATTCTCTTGAAGCATTCGCTTTTAAAAAGTAATCATGATTTAAAAAGTATTTTTACTACTAGCCCCCCCCCCCTTTGATCGTAGGTCTGCCCCTTCCCCTAAATCACGGCTTGCAACGCCCATGATAGTATTTTAAATGTTTCTTAGTATGAAGGGAGAAAAGTCAATATGGTTGGCGCAAATCATTCTGAAATTGTTACCTCGCATGATCCTGATAAAATTAACATAATAGCATACATTATGTTACGTCCTTGTATATATTGTATTACCTTGGGTGCGCCTAGATCATGGTGGTCCTTATCGCGTTTGAACATGCCGGGCTCGAAGCCGACCGGGCCCGAGGTGCCGGGGATGCCGGGCAGCGCCACCGCGTTGTCGGATATCAGCTCGCGCTTTTGCTCCGTCTGACAAATATAACCCTCTGATTCCACTAACGTAATCCCACCCCTAATACCCCCAGGGGTTAATGAACCCATCTCTACTTTCATTAAAAAGAGAAAGAAAGAGATTAAAGTTTTTACAATGTGTAAAGTAATAGAAACCTTAGAAGTTCGTATGTATGTTGTACAGTGTAATTTCGCCTTGTAGAAACATTTTAATAAAACATACGATGTGAATTTATGTAAATAATCATTGAAATGATTTAAAACGCTCAAAAACAAATAACTTTCGTTTCGAAACTTACGTAAGATTCATGTTTGGATTTAAAGGAATGTTGAGACAACTCTGATCAGGTATTTTTTTACTAAAAGGAGAATTTATAAGATTGATTTTTTATCTTAAATAATTATTATTCTGTTAGCGTAGAATTACGTAACTTAATAGATGCCCTGTATAATTTAAGGTTGACAGGTTGTAACCGTCACAAACTGGTTCAAAACTAATTTTAAAATCATTACAATCATATTTCACGAACCGTTTTCTGATTAAATATTTAATTTAGGATATGGAAAAGAAAAAGAACATGACCGCCCAGGGCGCTGTACAAGAAAACTCGCCTTAGCAAATTACAGTACAGTAATGCAAATTACAGTCTCACATAAACCTGTTTAAACCCCCTTTGTGCACAAAAAAAGAGGCGCCCAGTACCTCACCAGGCCTCACAAAACCCGGTTATTGCACTAAAACCCGTGCTGACTAGTCAAATGCAAGTAGTACTATAATACTATCCCCAAACAAATAAAAATCTATTTTTTAATCGGATACTTAAAATACTAACGTCACGAGATATTAAACATTTGGCCATAGACATTTGAACCTAGAAACAAAACACACACTAGACAGTAGAGCGGACAAACATGACAATTACCCTTCCCGTAGTCCCTTCCCTATTAAATCCCCTTTCCCGTTATCCATAAAATACTTACATTATAATTTCTTAAAGGTATATCGAGGACAGATACGACATCGACTTTCACGTCTTCCTCCTTGATACTAGACAAGGGCACGGGCAGTACGTCGTCCCGCAGCGGGAGCGGCTTGTCTAAGGGCAGCGGAATACCGCCCTCTGCGTCCATCTCCATCTTAATGTTATCCTAGTATATAAATGGAATTCTAACATATATTACGTCATCTATATCGTAAACACACTTCTCCGTGGAGTAGGATGTCAGCAATCACAGCATATTTTTGAATAAAACTTTCTTTAATAAAAAACCCTACATTTTCGACAAGCTATAGGCTATATATTTTCGCGCTTTTAAACTTAGGGGGCAAATAAATTGAAAAAACTTTCATGTGGGAAAGGGACCATAAACTACAAGCTGCCAACATCAAGGAAGCAAGATTGCCAGAGTACGCCTTCGTCTTCATTTGTTCGTAAGAAATTTTACATTTGACAAATATAAGCAACAAAATAATGTTTTTAAAATAAGTAATTAATTCATCTGTTATAGTATTAAGTTAGCTTTTACAAAAAAGTTTTTATCGCCTATGTAACCTCTCTTTTCTAACATAAATGTCAATATACAGATGAATGGATGTTACAAGGAATCTGAAACCGGCTTAGCGAATTTATGTTAAAATTTTGCAGAGATGTAGAACATAAATTGGCATAAAACATAGACAACTAATGAAGTTTTTTTATTATTATTTAAAAGATCGTGTGAAAAAATTATGAAATTCGATTCTTCATATTTATTTTAATGTAAAATCTTCTAGTTTAACAACCAGTAGCAGTTGCCGGCTCGTGCGGTCAAGTAGATATCTAAATAAAAGAAGATAAATATTTAAATAACGTGTTGGTCTTAACTAAAGTATTGGAACGTGTCAGTAGTAACTAAAGCGGTTAGGTAACATTCCGGTTTTCAAAATATTATTGTATCAAAACATGAAAGATTGTGTTTTTTTAAACTAAAATACGAATTACGATATATGAATTTGAAGAAGGGTTCTTATAAGAGTCTAATAAAATGGGGCAAAATAAACTTGATTAAGAATAATCTGTTTTTTTTTTATTTTAGGAAATACGAAACCAACGTTCGCAAATTTACTAAAAAAACAGTACATATTAATAACCTACAAATACAATTTCTTATAGAAACACTAATATTGCTTTGCATTAAAATTATAAGTCACAGAAAGTTCGATAGCCTACTTTTTAGGGATGCACTTATATTCGATATTTTTATCGATTAAAATGCACTACGATTACTGCGTACATCAATTTTTGTGTCGGTAATGCGATTCTAGTTCAATGAAAATGATAAATCGTTAGACTCACTTAAGAATTACGGTTTTAATTACGTGCTTAACACACCTTTTCCCAAAAATAAATAAAAGTAGATTTTAAATTATCAAATTTATATGTTTAAAATTGCAACCCATTATTATGTGTAAATAAATACAATAAAACTACTTCAACAATAATTATCTATAAAATTCTACAATTTCAAAACCAATAGCACATCCCTATAACATGTTATTTATGGCGTGACCGCTGTACAAACATTGTTTGCAAAAAATAGGAAATTGCTTTTTCATCGCGTGATCAGCATATAATCACCTTTTTCTTTAACGACTTAAAATGAGGGCATATTTGCTATTAATAAAAATAGCGATAAAGTCAAAGGTAAAAAATAACTTAAGAGAATATAAAAAAGTTAACTCACCTCAGTAATTATTTCCTGCTTGATGACCGGCGTCATTTCTATCTCTCTCAATCTATCCCGTTCTCTTTCCCTTTCTCTTTCTCTGTCTCTCTCTCTCTCCAGCCTCTCTCTCTCTTTGTGGTGCATCTGTTTCATCATGGCCTGTATTTCTACGAGCGGCACACACACCGGCCGCTTGAGGCCGTACAATGTGTAGTACAGATCGACGAGGTCGCAACGGAGCCTCGCGTCATTAGATAACTGACAATTTATGTTATTCCACAATCTAAAAGAAAATTCTACTATTATAAATACGAAAGTTTGGATGGATGGATGTTTGTTAGATATCTCCAAAATGTAGTTTGGTTATCATTTAATTCCGTGTAGATGGAATCGCGGGCGAAAGCCAGTTTTATAATAAGTCAAAATCGTCTAAAATTCACATTCCTTGTAGAATGTTAATGTATATGATCGCTGTATAACGACGTGTGAATTTTATTTCCCGGTTAATTAAGCATTAATGCAGTAGAGTAGTACCATTAATACGTAATACCTGTTTTACGTGTAAAATGAGTATTATTATAATCAAAATCACAAATCAACGAAGTTCGAACTAACATTCACCTGCGATTTCGTCATTACGGAATAAAAAACCAAGTATTTAATTTTTCATTCTGAGTAATAGAGATAAATCATGCTTATGAAATATGACTTTTCGATATGAGATACTCCAATTTAAGGAAGTAAAAAAATGTATTAATAAATTATGTAATTACAAAAATGTATTAATAAAATATGTAAATGTATGTGCTTGCGAACGTAGTGCATGTGTGCGTGCGTACGTATGTAGAACATACGTTCGTATGTACGTGCGTACGTAGAATATACGTGCCTGAGTAAGTGCGTACGTAGAACATACGTTCGTGAATACGTGCGTACGTAGAACACACGTGCGTACGTGGAACGTACTTGTGTGCGTGCTTGTAAGGTGTATGTATGAGATTGTGTAATGCTTAGATGAAGGTATTTATTACCTGTGTACAACAGCCTCTGTATCGAGGCGGTGTCGCTGCGCCTTCTCGAAGGGCGGCATGGTAACGAGGAGGCGAGCCAGGCCGTGCCGCACGCCGGGCTCGGGGTCGCTCTCCACCGCCGTCAGTAACGACGAGAGGTCCTCAGCGCGGCCGTCCACGCGCACAAAGTCTACCAGACACTCGAATGCCGCCAAACGGACGTCTGGTAGAACGCAATTTATTTTGTACAGGTATGATGGAAAAATTAGAATGTTTTTTCAATGTTTTAGAATTAAATGGAACCACAATTCGTAAGGATGTCAAATATTAAGTATTTATCAGCCGAAAAGTGACACAAATCTTAAAAACCGCGCTCAAAAACGCTTGCAATTTGTCAAGCGTCAAAGTTTAATAATTTACATCGTAACATTAAAAAAATCTCACGATTAAACTTTGACATATAAGATTGTTTTTTACGCGCTTTCTTCTAATATGAAACCTGTAAAACTTTATTGATTTTTACAAACTTTTTTTTTATTATTTAACATAACTGTTACTTCTACAATAGTGATAACATAGTTTTTTAATGGTGCAAGAAATAAAATCGGTGCAGTTGTATCTGAGTTACTTCAATTTGAAATCCAAAAATAATATTAATCATCATCATCATCATCATCATCTCCTTATCCTACTCCCGTAGGGTCGGCGCAACAGGTTTTTGTCCTCCACATAACTCTATCATACGTCATCTCAGTCATCACTCCCTTTTTGATCATGTCACCTTTTACACAATCCATCCATCTCTTTCTAGGTCTACCTCTACCGATGTACCCTTCCACACTCATAACTAACGTTCTCCTTGTAACATGCGATTCATCCCTCCTCATAACATGCCCATACCATGCTAACCTTTTACTCCTAACCTTCTCTATTATGGGGGCTACTCTCAAACTTCCTCTAATATACTCATTTCGTATCTTATCCATTCGTGTTACCCCACACATCCATCTTAACATTCGCATTTCTGTCACATGTAGTCTTCTTTCATCCGTCCCTTTTACTGCCCAACATTCAGATCCATACATCATGACAGGTCTTACGACGGCCTTGTAAATTTTCCCCTTAAATTTAAGTGGAATTTGAGGGTCGCCAAAAATAATATTAATATAGATAAGAAAGCCTTCCAACCTAAATGAAGCTAAACTAGAGAAGTACAAGACGAGACGACACTGACCTATGTACTGCCCGTACTGCGCGTACGCTCTGAAGACGGTGGGGATGCTGGGCAGGTGTCCGCACTGCTGCAGGCGGCGCACGGCGCGCAGGCAGCTCACCGTCACCGTGTTCTTGTAGCACGGCAGCACCTTCTCCAGGTTCAGCATCCGCGTCATCTCTTCCAGCACCAGCTTCGTGTCCGCCGACAGCGAGTCAGCGGTTATAGGAGCGCCCTACACACATCAGTTTTTTTTTATTATAAGGTGGCAAATGAAGCGTGAGTTCGCCGAAATGGCGAAGCGACCGCTGCCGATATCCTTAATCGACGGAAAACGCAAATAACAGGATATTTCCCTTTCCTATGTGTGTCGTCTGCCGTCAATTTTTTACTTTTCTTTCTAAGAAAGAAGTGGAAAGGAAAAGAGACTAAAATTAGACTTGCGGCACCGCACTCATCAGAGTGTACGCGGAATTGCTTCCACTTCACGCCTGTCTTCTGTATAGTGGTATTGCTGAGGTCAAGCCGGCCCTACAGTGCGAAGATTAAAGCAGGCATCACCGCTGTTAGTTTTACTGCAAGTCATCTTATGTATAGGAAAAAATACTATTCGAATTACAATTTATTTTATGAAATCGATTCAGACGAATACATTTTGTTGCAATAGATACGAAGAATTAAAAACGTGTAGGTAATTTGGATGGATCTTTCTTACTACCTATCTTCAAAATGTCTTATCGGATCTCGAATTTGGCACAGATAAAGAACATAGTCTGGAAGAACACATAGATTACTTATGTTTTATAATACCTCGCGGAGATAGTCGCGGGCAAAAGCTATTGACTTACCGGCTGCAGCACAGAGATGACAGGAGTGATGGTGGCCGCCAACGCGTCCACCAGCGCCGCGCGGTAGTAGTTGTCGGAGAAGTGGTTCTTAGAGTTGTCGTTGTACTTGAACAGGTCCAGCAGGAAGCGCACCACTTCCGGAGGACAGATGCCGTGGATGTTCCTCAAACCTGATTGTAATGTGCTTTTATTGGGGTATAATAATCTTACTTCTTACTAGGAATGCGAAAGTTAAAATGGATGGATGTTTGTTACTAAGTTCCTTCTTACTCAACAGATCTGACTAAATTCATAATCATACTAATATTATAAATGCGAATGTTTAGATGAATGGATGGATGTTTGTTAGAGTTTGTAACCTAAATTGTCGAATGGATTTCTATGAAATTTGAAAAAAGATGCAGAGGATAATCTGGAAGAACACATGGGCTACTTAGTTTTTTTTTTTATTCCACGCGGACGTAGTCGGTGGCGAAAGCTAGTTTAACATGAATGTAGAACATAATCTGGGAAAAAACATAGACATTTCGGTCGGAGTCGTGGGCGACAGCTAGTTAAAAACGTATATTTACCAGCCATAGCAACAGGTATTGTTTTCTGCAAGTAGTAATGCTGCAAATTGTCAAAATTGTTCTGCTTTATAATATGAGGTGCGGCGAACGAGCCGAACATCTTGCGGAATATCGTCAACATGGCCGGCGGACCCGCCCACGAGCTTATCATTGCATTCGCCACCTGAAATGTAAAAGAAAATGTAACTCTTGTAGGAAAGAGGATACAGGTAAATGTGCCCATAGAGTACAGAAGATACTAGAAACGTGAATTTTATTGAGTGCTAGAACTTGTCCGCTACTATGTCAGCGCAGAATAAAAAAAACTTATATTATTCCCGCAGACATCAACTTTCAACGAGCAATTACGGATATTCGGAAAAATCGAGTCTACCTTCTTAGAAACAAATATCGTGTCGTCTTCCTCTTATTTCCTACAGAAAAAATACTAGACTATCAAATCTATTTGGTGAAGTCATTAGGTCTATGTCTGCAGTACTATGCTTAACTCATTTAGTGCGTTACACGAAGAATTTTCCTGTATTTCACTGTAACTAGTTATTTTCCTACCCTGGCCCGGGTGTAGATAAACTACATGCCTATACGAACAAGAGAAATGTATTAAGTTTATCATTGACGTACTGAACGTGTTCAACGTACCTTGGTCAAGCAATGTGCTGCTCTACACCTGATCTTGTAGTACGTCTGTTCATTCTCTATTGTGTCAGTGAGAGCCTTCCTCGTGACGGGCTCGGGGAACGCGTGCAGCGCGTCGATAGCCTCGCTCTGCGCGGTGACGTCACGCTCGTGGCGTAACTGGTACTGCCACTGGTAGTCCGGCTGAGTGATCACTGTCGACCTCAGCAGTGACATCTCTGGGTCCAGACGGATCCAGAGAACTGGCGAATCACTGGTAGAAAAGTGTTTTAAGTCTTTTCAGCAGCACAAATGATGGAACTCATCGGCCTTTAGGTCATAAGGGGAGGGGCGTAGATGTACATCATCATCATCATCATCATCATCAGCTCACTATCCTCACTAAAGGGCTCGGAGCCTACCCTAAGTTAGGTCATATTTAACCATGCTGCTCTAGTTTGCGTTAGTTGACTTCAAACATATCGTTTAATTTCTTTGCATACATGTAAGGATTGCATTACAATGTTTTCTTTTACAAAAAAGAGGTCGAGTTACATATAAAATTGGTACTTTAAAAAACTGATTAGTAGATGGCAAGAATCGGACCCAGGAACCTCCAGATTACAAGTCTTTTACCTCTAATCCACCAATACACCAATTAGTTAGTTATTACTGTTAAAAAAAATGTAATAATAATAAAATGTCATCACAAAAGTCAATTATTTAAAATTACTTACTCCATAGCCGAAAGATCCATGTCCACCTCCTCCCCTGTACACAGAGGTATCTTCTTCTTCTTGTTCCTTCTGCTCTTGCTATGGCAGGTTATATCTGCTTTCACAACTGTGTTCTCTATCTGAAGTGTATGCTTAAATGTGCCGTCCAACTCCTGTAGTTGTACTAACAAAGGGCCCACGTATTTCCTTATACCACGCTCGTGGACGCTGTCTTGACGTATTTCAAGTTCTATTGTGTTTCTATTTGAATAACAAAATTAAATAATCAATGTTGCTATCATCTTAATATACCTAACAAATTTATAGTAATATTATAAAGTGGAAACATTTGTATGTTAGTTACAAGTGAACTCAAAAACCTCTGGACCAAATATAAACCTGAGCGAAGCAGGGACTAGTTGACTACAAAGTTCAGCCATTTATGTTAAGCAATTAAAATTATTTTTAAATTCTTACCTCTTCCGATTGAACAAAGATGTGAGTTGGAATTTAGCATGTCCATTAGTTCTGACCCACTGATCCACGAACACGGCCATATCTTTCCCAGTCACAGTGAATATTGCTTTAACGAACAGATTGGTAGATAACAACAGATGTCCCCACAGCCCGCTACCAATCTTGGTGTTCGCAGCATTTGTGGCTAAGGAGAGCTGCTTGTTGAACACTTGGAGGAGAAGTTCTTGACCTATTCGCTGCTCCAACATACGTAGTACTAAATGTGATTTCTTACGCATTACCTAAATAAAAACACAAATTTCACCTTTTGCTTTCCTAAAGATTTTTCTTATTGACACAACTAATTTGAGAGGACAATTTGTTATTTATTAAAATACTAGATTTCGCCCGCGACTCCGTTCCCGTGAAATTAAAAAAAAAAAAAAAAAACAAAGTGAGTAGCCTATGTGTTTTTCTAGACTACCCTCTACGTCTATACTAAATTTCAACGAGATCCGTTCAGCCGTTTAGGGTACAAACTCTAACAAACATCCGTCCATCCATCCATCTAAACTTTCGCATTTATAATATTAGTAAGACTAGCTTTCGCCCGCGATTCCGTTCGCGTGGAATTAAAAAAAAAACAAAAGTAAGTAAATGTGTTCTTCCAGACTTCCCTCTATGTCTACACCAAATTTCTTTATGATCGCTTTCGAATTTATAATATTAGTATGATTCATGTAATTATGATTAATCAGTCTTACTTCAATATACCGCGGTGACATGGTATGCACGTTGCGGACAGGGAAGTAGAAAACATCCTTAGGTTCCACTCGAGCGCCGCTGGCAGGTGGCTGCCACGGGTCGAGCACTATCCCTCCATACTGTTCTTCATAGCCTACAACCTGACCAAAAAAGTCATATTTATAATATTTTTTAAATCAATTCCTACTTTTAGTAATTATTTTATAGGCTTTAGTTAATGTATTGAATTTGACTTAATTACTAAATTCCTGTTACAAAAAATGTCATGCGCTATTTTTTAACAACGGCCATTTTGGAATTTATTCATTTATTTATTAAGATAAACCAATAGGACAAAATTATGACACAAACACATTTTTACACAATACAATAAGTGAGAATTTTCATTTTGTACCGTAATCCGCACAAAGATTATCAATATCATTGCAAATTTTTGTTTGTTGGGAAACTTCAACATTATATGATTGTGAAATTATGGCAGGTTCAATTTATCTTAACATATTACATAAAAAAGTTACCTCTTGCAATTCCTGATGAATCCAATATCTGTATTCGTTATTTCCGAAACACTTTTTAGAATACAAGCCACATAGATAATCAGGTATCCCCTTTGCAAGCCACAAGTCGGACCAATTCTGCATTGTTATGAAGCAACCAAAGAATTGTTCAGCAACCGCTTGTGCCATTGCTTTCCGACTTATGTATATTTGGTCAATGATAGCTATTGAGTGCAGAAGATGTGTGCTTAATATTGACATTGTTGTGTAAGCACAGGCATCATCTTCAGTCTGGAATTAAAGAAATAGTATCAAATATACAGGAAATTATTGAAAACAAACAATTACTACATGGTAAAGTTGTGGATGGCACATCTACAAAAAACTTTTGAATTGTACTGTATCATTTTTTTTTCTTGTGGTATTGTACTTTTATCCCAATAAATGAGAAAAACAATATTTATGAATTTACATTGGTACTAAAAGAGCAGTTAAGTTTTTTTATACTACGAGGTGGTAAACAAGCAAGCGGCCACCTGAATCCGCCGAAATGGCGAAGGGACAGCTGCCCATAGACATCCGCAATTGAAGATATGTTACCTACCCTTAAACGACGGAGGAGGAGATGGACATAAATAGGATATTTCTCCTTTCTATAAGTCTCCTCCGCCGTTAAACCCACTTTTCCTACCAATCCTATCTTCTTAAGAAAAAGGTGAAATGGAATTTATAGTAGTTAAACTTACCTCATCTACAAACACTTGCTTGTAACATGGATAAGGATATCTTGTTGATAAAGTTTCTTCATAAAACTCAAAAGCTTCATGCAAATATCTGACAGTATTTTTAAGAATTTGCAATAAATTCGGAAGGCAGTAATGTGTGACCTCATTCATGAATGGATCAACATATGTTTCAAAGGGTCTGGAAAACAATATTGAATTAGAAATATATCAGATCTCTATAACAAAAATGAATGAGAATTGAGAAATATTGTACCTACAATACTGTGATTAATCACAAAAGAATTACCTCTTTTATTAATATTTTAAAACAAAATTTAACTATTATTAAAAATATAAAAAAATTTATACATTACCCAATAGCAAGTGCTATATTTGGAGCACATGCTGGTGTGTTGACAACATAATGAAATGTCTTCCGTCTGTGGTCAGGTGTGTACACCACATCTAAGAGTTCACCACAAGATACCGCTGTCAGACATTCATCCACCGTGAACTCTAGTTTCCATGTGCAAGGTTCAGCAAAACTGTCCACACAGGGGAACCAAAGTCGAGCGGAGTGGCCATATGTAAACATGTGTGCTGATTTCTACAAAAGAATAACACATTGAACTAAATAGCTTGTCACTAGCATGTCTGCTGGTCATAATATCAGATAATGTTTACAATAATCCCTAATTTACCTCTGTTAATGATCCTTCCCCTTCAGGCACAACAAAATGTAAACCACCCTGTGGGGATTCCAATGAGAATTCAATACCGATTCTCAGTCCTCTACCTTCTCCAACTAAATGTGCAGCATCATCAGGAACTTGGATATGCAACTCTCCTGAATTATGATCAGGATCGACTTTCTGTGCAGCTGATAGATGATATCTCGAAAATGTCTCCAATGACCTCCTAGAAAATGTCTCAAGTTTATATTATATTTGTTGATTATAAGATCTTAAAATTCTCAAGACATTTAGTGCTAGCAAATTAGCTGGAGATGCTTTGCAAAAATCACAGTGGTATAAAAAATGTTAAAAACGAGTATGAAATCAATAACATTGTCAGTTATTTCAATATAAATTGTACTGTTGGTTTAAAATTGGATAAAAGAGTCAACTTACGTATTAGGATCAGGTTGACATATATCCAGGAATGGGTCACAGTATTGAAAATTGGCTTCATATTGATCATTCAGACACACTCTGTAAATTCGGCACTGCTTGGCATTCAAACGGATAAATCTCAAGTTATCTTTCAAAGGTACTATTGTTAACTCTACGAAACCCTGGAAGATTCACTAAGGTAATTAGTGTCCCATTAACAAGTATAAAACAAGAACTAGATTTAATGGAAACTTACAATTATACTTCTTCGTTCAAAACTAATGCCAGTTAAGCTTAAAATTTGATGGGCTGTAAAATAAGATACGATTGTAAGCATTGGTTAAGATAAACGAAAATAGAGTATTTAAAGATACTTATAATTTAAATGGGCGACAATTATCGCCTGTCCGTTCTTTCTTCATTTTTATATTGTTTCATACACTCATGGCATTTTAATAAATGAAATGATTTTAATTGAGAAAGTTGATAAATACGTAAAGTTATTATTTTGAGATTTTTACTGCAATTGTCAACATCGATGACAGTGATTATTGTCAAATGTCAAAAAACTAGTGATGTCAACGCCAACAAAATAGTTAAAACAACTGTAGATTTTCTTTCAACTATTTGCATTAAACGTAAAATATTATAAGGAAAACAATGACGATATTCTATTTTCTCCACCAGTGTTTGGAACTTTCTTAAAGTTTGTAATATTAACTAGTTGTCAAGATAAACTAGTTTTTTAACAGATTGAAAAAAGCAAATAATAGGTTGCATTTTGTTGATGCCAAAACCACCAATGTCCATCCCTACAGGAAACACAAATCGCAGATAGGTAAATTTAAATTTTCTGTGTTATGCATTTTACATATAGATTTACGATTGTTGAAAATCAATTAACATGTATTACTATCCATTTGAACAACCTTGTTTTTGGTTATCATTACTTTTATTCTCCTATTTTATCAATCAATTTCAAGTTCAATACATTTTGTAACTGTGTCAAAAGCATTGATTTCTGAACTCATATTGGTGCAAAAATCTTTGAGACTCTGTGGCGACAATCTGTCAAAATACGAAAGGAATGAGAGAAGTAGAATTTGAGATTGTGATTAAAATTTATTGCTATACGAAGATCGTATCCTAATAATTTTCGTTCAGTGTATGAATTACATTCTTTAAGTATTTTAAAACAGTTTACATGTTTGTTTTTCACTTAAGTTGTCAAAATGGGGGATTTGCCTTATTTGACTTGTTTGGTTTTGTACATATTTTCTTTTCAAATTATAGCTATTAATTCTCGCACCTCTAATATTTGGAAATTGGACGCTGAAGAAGGACAAATCATCGATGGTAGTAAGTTGCCGCAGGTTAGTAAAAAATCAAAATATTTTGTTTTATGTAACTTGTTTTTACCATGTGTATGAAATACATTGGAGTACATTTGACCCTTTTTAGACTGTTACTTAACTAGTTAGCCTTGATTTCTCAAGAAATCTTGCTTCAAGACAGTTTGACTAAAAACACATTTATTTACAAAGCATTTACAAATAAATATTCCTATATTTTAGGATGAGACAGACAAATCTAAAATAACAGAAGAAGATGCTGTATTCAATATAATTACATCCACTGTGTATTATGGAAACACTTGGACTAAGCATGGCTTTGACATGTTCTGCACAGACTGCCAAGTTTTTGACCAGCAAAGGTAAAAAGATTACTTACTCTAGTGGCAATACAAAATAAAATAAACAAGAATCTTTGATGAGGTACCATATACAATAATTGTTAAGGATAATAAATAGTTATCTTCTATCTTATATTATCTTTATAATCCATGTTACTGCTGTAAATAATTTTTAGTTTCATTGAATAAATTCCAACTAGAACTTTAGCATATTGCTATGTCTTCTGGAGAGAACAGAACCTATAATCAAAGGAGTTTGATTATAGGTTCTGTTTTGATAATAGGATTATTGTGGGTAATATTAAATTTAGTGTAATTTAAATTATGACAAATAGATAGAGGAAAAAAACACAAGACATTATAAAAATGTGTGTGCATGTCTTTAGACTGATTGTAATATTACCTTTTGCCTATATTACTGCTTTCTATAACTTAGCTATCTTCCATTAAAATAGGTCTTACACTTTAGAGATTACAGTGTGAACTCAGACAGACAAAAAGTTAAAAACTCAGATATGTGCCACAGTAAAATTATTTTTGTTATGATACACAGGCAATACAATTTGATAAACTGTATACTAATTCAATGTATTTATGTTTGGCTTCTTTGATATTAAATGTTGTAGGAATGTAATGGATAATGTTGAAGAAACACCTTCAGCAGAAAGCAATGGAGACACAGATGAAGAATATTTGGACTGTGGAAAAGCTGTTAACTTCACATATTATGATAATTTAGTTGGGGTTGCTAGACGGCATAGACACCCTAATGTTCCTGAACCACAGGTGATGTATTTTACTAGCTGTAGCCATTCTAGAGATTAGTTAACTAAGTTTGGATTTACCAATCATGCATTCACACTCTTGAAGATGGCAAGGTTCACCAGGAAAGAGATACAAAAAACATATAGAGGAAGCATAGTTGGCACTTCAATTGAGATAGTTTCACATGATCCACTTATACTATTTATTGATAGATCCCCAAACCACATGTCAATATAATTAATTGTATTTCAATTAATTGCCTATAGATGTCACATCATATTTAAGTGTTTATATCTTATTTTGTGACACTGTTTAGTTTATTTTCTATCCATAGATGGAGATTATTATAATTTTGTTAAATGTGTTATAACATTTTATTACAAGGACATGAGGTGGCACACTAAATTTGACAACTAACATAGTATCTTTTAAAGTTACCGGTGAAGAAATGTTGTTCACTATGTCAAGTCTATACATTACTTAAATGCTTAGTGTCACCAGTGATACATTATGTTACAGCAGACATCATCAGAGGTCAGTCACTGTTGAATAAAAAAACAATTGATGAGGACACATTTTTGATAGCTTTAAGAAAGATGGAGAACATATTCAATTTGTATTTGGCTTAAAAATGTATGTTAATTGCCCAACTATTTTTACAGGTAGCTCTTATATTCACAAAGAAAAAGCTGTACAAAAATGGTGTATCAGAACTAGACATAAATGCATTAGAGAAACGTTTGAAAAAAGCGAAAAGAGAAAAACCAAAGTCTGTACAACTTTATAACCAGATTGGTAATTTCTGGAGAATAAAAGGCGACACTCGACTATCTATTGAATGTTTCCGACGAGCGCTTGCAGTCTCACCTTATAATGCAGAGGTAAAATCAATATGAATGCTGTCAATATGTAGAAGTGAAATTTACATGTACAGTTGCCTTAGTTTGCAGTATACCAGTTACAAAAAAATTACCTTAATTATACCTTACTATTTAATACTATAGAATATTATATTGTTAACACTTTTAAAAACCTTTAGCATTTCTGCATATAAGACTCTCAAGCAATTATCACTTTAAAGGTGACATACCAACAAAAACCTTGACTGTACATTTTGCAATAATTATTATGAAATTGCCAGCAAAGCTTCCAAATAGTACTTTGGAATGAAAATATAAGAATTTAAATAGTTAATATCTAGCTGACATCTGACATAATAAAGAAATGTGTTTACATTTTCATATTAGTGTAGATTGACAAAAATTTCTTTTAGATTAGTCTAGATTGACAAAAATTTCTTTTAGATGAGTCTAGTTTGACAAACATTTCTTTTAGATGAGTCTAGTTTGACAAACATTTCTTTTAGATGAGTCTAGTTTGATAAACATTTCTTTTATATTAGTCAAGATTGACAAATATTTCTTTTATATTAGTCTAGATTGACAAACATTTCTTTTACATTAGTCTAGATTGACAAAAATTTCTTTTATATTAGTGTAGATTTAAATTTTCAGTCAATTAGAATGTGAGTAATATCAGGTGCTGCTGAACCTAGCGCGCGTGCTGTTCACGCTGCAATACCTGGACGACGCGATCTACCTGACGCGGCGGTCGCTGGAGGTGCAGCCGCCGGACCGCAGCGCCTGGCAGCAGTACTTCACGCTAGGGGAGATATTCAAAGCATATGGACATTATCAAGTTAGTAATATAATTTACCCGACGTTCTTACGGTAAAGGAAAACACTGTGATATTGGTAAAGTAAATTCAAAGATATGTCACAACCACAGTGGACCAATAGTTGACTATAGTCGAGTAAATTATAAAGGCTCTGAGCCCCTATGTGGGGGTTTATAGTGAGCTGGTGATAATGATAACAAGTGAATCTATAGACTTATGTACCAGTAAGCTATAGATAGGGCAAGCTAGTGGCTATATGCAGTAATTATATAAAAAGTTTATTGAAATAGATCAAGCAGTAAATGTCACAAAGCTAAATGATATGAGTTACATATGAAAGACAGATGTTTTTGATATTTTGGAGAATTAAAATGTTAGTAAATTAAACCAGAGTGTTACTGTAAAACCTGTGTTTTTTACTTCATTTTTTTCGATTTGGATTGAACATTGTTTTTTGAGACTTACTGTACGTAACCCTAAGAAACTTGGAGATGCCCAATACCATATACCGAAAATTCTTAACACAAATAAATTTCCTTTAATTAAACTTTCAATCTCAATGCCTATATTAGGTAGGAGTGGTTGAGCGACTGGCTACTACTCAAGCTGATAAAAAGGGGGCCTCTAGAAATGTTGCCCAGGGTATTTATAACGCAAAAACCGGTACAGCTAAGACATTTGTATGAGAATTGTATGTGTTGTGCTGCAGGAGGCGGCGCTGCACCTGAAGCACACGCTGGACCTGCGGCCGGACTTCGAGCCGGCGCTCGCCGCGCTCAAAGACATCGAGAACATCCCCGAGGCCTCCGTGCACGTCTACACGCTGCTCATCATCATCTGCTTGGTAAATATAATTCTACTAACTATACTATTTTTTTTTTTCAATTTATGCCTTCTAGCTTTCACCCGCGACTCTGTCTGCATGGAATTAAGAAAAAAACAAAAGAGAGTTTACATCTATGCTAAATTTCATCCAGATTCTTAAGCCTTTTAGCTACAAACACCAATAAACATCCATAAATATTCAAACTTTTGCACTTATAATATTAGTATAATAAGATTCAAATTTAATGAAATATACTCTCGCAATTCGTTTGTTGCTGAAGGTTGGTTGGTTTCATTGCATAATTTATTGTAACACGCTTTTAAAGATTATAAAATATTATCACATACTTTATCAAAATAAATGAGTGTTTATCATTACCACGTGTTTAAATAATCTTTAAAGATTATATCACGTCAGAAGTTAAAAACCCATTTTTCTGACGTTGATCTGTGTATATGTAATGGATTGTATGGATTCACTGGCGCCAGTTAATGATTATAAAATGCCAATCCAGTCATTGAACTGTACTGGCTACTGTAAACTAGACATCAAAGTTCATAGTAGACCAGCGTTTGCTAATCACCTCCACCACAGGGTAGGCCTAGAACCAATACAGTAACGTGATGATGAAGGTTGACAAAGCAGTAGAAGTCCACGTGACCGGTCCCGGTTGCAGGTGATGGGCGTGCTGCTGGTGATCCTGTCCTCCGTGGAGAGTGGCGGGGAGGTGGAGGAGCACAAGACGCAGCGGCACTTCAACCGCGCGATGGCGATGCGGTCGCTGCGCGGCGCCGCGCCCTCGCTCGCTCGCGGCAGGAAAAAAGGCGGCTCCTAAACACATGTACCTTCGGACCTGAGTTTCTAGTTTTGTCACTTGTATTTTTCACCGACTTCCCCAAAGAAGGAGGTATTCAAATCGTCTGTATGTTTTTTTGTGATTAATACTTTCGGTTGTCTTTGAATTTCAATGATTGATGATTTCTTTTTAAAGTGAAAAATCATAAATTTATAGTTATGGTACATTTTTTTGTATTTGTTTTGCTGTTTAATGTACAGTAATTTGTATTTAATTTCTTAAAATGGCAGCGCAAATACCTAGCTTTTTAAAACATAAATTGGTCCTTTGAACCGGATAAAAATATTTCAATGTGTTCAATCTTTCCCTATAACTGAACATCGAGTTTGCTAGTGGTAATGTAACTATAACTTAATGTCTGAATGATTGCAATTCTGCAATACATTAAAACAATAATTACAAGCCCAAACGTTCATATTATTTAATAACTTTGAATTGTTAAAAGCACTTGTTTTTACAGCAATACATCCTTTTTTAAGTATTATTTAAGTTATTAATACTTTTTTTGAGTAAACTTAATTTTATTTATGAAGACTATAAACTCAGGGTCAAGGAACTAGAAGTCTACTTCGTACTTTATGCGTTGTGAAAGTGGAAAACGAAAACTTCAAAATGTACCTTTGCTTACATTACCCGGCGTCACTCGTACCAATGTTCTTGTACTGTTCTGTTAAAATAATCATTTTAAATACTATAGTCAACTTTTTTGTTGGATTGAAAGTTGTGGGTAGATGAAAATTATTTACAAAATTTCAAAGTAAATTCAAATCAATTCGCATTAATAATGTTTAATATTCGCCCCGGTATAACATAGTTTTTAATTGTTTTTTTTTTGTGATATTAAAGATGCTACGACACAAAGTTGCTGGTAATGGTAATTGCTTTTTTACTCTTTAAAAATATGTTTAACAGAACAGTACAGTTTCTGCCACAGCTCTTTGTTACATTGAAATTTGAGATGCGCTTTTACTTAAAATTGTTGTAAAATAATATCTTTGGCGCATTGTCATAGCTACAAAGACAAAGAACCGTGGCAAATTAATTTATCAGAGGCTAAACAATTACGTACAAATAAACTGTTGATCTTTATATCAGAATAATGTTTTTGTCATGTTTGATTTTATCTCTGCTTTGTAGTTTTACCATTTGACAATATTCAGATTTCAAAGCAGTTAAAATAGCTGCTTAAAATGTATTAACGATTTTATATCTAACCTCCAAACGGATATCCGTTTCGTTGATTACTTTGTAAGGTGATGTTATTTCGCTTTTGATAAGCAATAAGATTTTGAAATACCATTCGTAGCTTTTTTGTATTCGAATTAGGCTCGTATTTGTCCCCCAATTTTCAAGACGTAGCCATTTTACTAACATCGATTAATTCGATGTTTATTAAACTTGTATTGAATTTAAATTGTTGACTCATGAAATCTCTAGAAATCAGTAAATCGAAAATTTCAACTATTACATCGATAATTCTACTTTATCAGAGTCGATGATTTATATTTTCTCTAAAAAAGGAATTCACCAAAGTCAAGACAATTAGGCATGATCGATGTTACAAAAATATCGATGACTGCCGAGAATATTTCAGAAAACATTACATTTAACGAAGTAAAGACAGAATTATCACCATTTGCATTGTGGAATTTATGATTGTTCTACATTGATGTTACTAATATCAGATTTTTTAAATATCGATATTTTCTCGATTAATATTCATCGATCGATCGTGAGCGATGCGTTGAGTGTAACTTGTGCAACCTAGTCATTCACTGAGACGAGTGCGCGGGCGCAGGTGCGCAGTGTCGTAGTAGTGCATGCAAGTAACTTGTTAAGTGTTCGTAGCATCTAAGGATTTAAAGAGTTGCAAGTCTTGAATTCTGAGATTGGTAAGAAATGTACCTGTTTTCAGTGTTTCTTTTGTTAATTTTTGACTATTTATTACTTAATACATGATTGTCTTAGCATCAATTTTGTAGTTTTTTTTCCCACGTAAATTTATAGTAACAAGTCATGGCAGTTATACGACTTTATACCAACGGAAAGACTAAGTTAAGTATTTACTCCCGAAGAGTTATTTTTAAAAACAAACCTGTATGATTATCTAATTTAAAAGATATGCTAATTTAACGGATTGGCACTAAATTTAAAATAAAACTCATTTATTAAAAAATTATAATGTATTTATTACAAAAAGTATACATGTAACTGAAAGGGAAGTCTCGCCATTATATCTGATTAAGCTGACAATGCATTTAACAAAGCCAAACTATGAAAATCCAAAAACGAAATTCAGCTAATTAGGTGAACTATACAAGAAGTTTAGAATTTACCAATATAGGCAATAAAACGTGTGTATCTTATACCTAGATAACCGAAACAAGATTATAGCGTGGTGTTTGGTACTTATAGTTTGATCTAGCTCGACTCGAATTATTGCTCTAAGAGAAGCGCTGCGTTTAGGCGACGTCGTGGATGCCAAGGCGGAATATGTCGTGCTGGATGAAGAACGTGTCTCCGAGAGGCTTCAGCACGAAGCTCTGCATGTACGGGTGCGGGGGGTCCTCGTCACACTGCACACAATAACAACTTGAGTATAACAATACAAGCAAGATCTTACTCCCGTAGGGTCGGCGCGACAGGTTTTTGTCTCTACATAACTCATATGTCATTTCAGTCATCACTCCCTTCTTGATTATGTCACCTCTCATGCAATCCATCCATCTTCTTCTAGGTCTACTTCTACCAGTGTAATTTAAATATATACCATATATAACATTTAAGTGGTTACAAACATTGACACCTCCATTCTTTCATCCATTCACATTTATAATAAAATAATGATAAAAAAGTCTCGTGTTTCTGAATAGCAAGGGACCTGTTGTGTTATGACATTTAGCTAAGATCTTATTTGGTACTTCCTGATCAGTGATGTTTTTACAAACAATTATATAGAGTACATTTTATCTGTTGCTATGCTGTTAAATGTTAATGTATTTTAGACATAATAACATATCTATTTGTTTAATTTTTCACCTAAAGGTCACCAACAGATAACAAAATTTAAATCTGGACTGAATATTGAAATATCTGAATTTTAGATCAATTTTTTCTTTTTAATTGTGTTGATAATCTATATTCATAACATGTAACTTTATAGTATGAAATTTTCTACAGAAGCTGATACTAAATTTAAAATATACAGGTCTAAATTATAATGTGACTAAAGCAAACAACAGAAAGACATGGTTTATCATCTAAAATTTAGTTTTATCTGATCATTTATTTTAAATTTCTTGACAATATTTCAATCTACAATTGATTCCTTATTGGTAGCTTATTCTTGTACCAATTGGCTGACCAATAGATACATTTTTCCCAATGATTGATTGTATGGCACAACACAAAATACCAACATTCAAAACATTTCAAATCTTATGTCATGGCTGGATTGATAATTTGTCTACATATTTTATAATAGGTACTAAAATAGTAGATTTAAATAAACTTACCTGGAGCCTGCCAAGAACATTAATGAGAACACCACCATCAAACATCGGTTGCGAGTCCACAGATGTCACTAGTCTTGTAATTTTTTGAAATGCCAAGCCCTGAAATTGAAATAAATTTGTTTTGAAAATTGAACTATCCAAAGTTTGACACAAAATGTGTAAGTAACATAAAAAAATCACATCTTATCAGTCAAAAGTTATCACAATACTATAATAATGAAAATTTGCTACCATGATTTTTAAAAATTGTGTTAATTGTTAACTTAGCATGAAGAAACAGATAAGTATAAAAGTTCTCATTGGACTAAATATAAATGTCTTGTTACACTATAACATGAGAAATGATTTATATGTAAAAGTATATATTGTATACTTAATAAATATAAATCATATTGTTAAAGGTTTCAATTACTTCAAATATTTTGTAATCTACATCATAACTTCTTTCAAAATGTTGTTTCCGTTTTTTTTTCTAATAAGATATATGATACCCACATTTAGTTTTTCCATAATTTTCACAGCACCTTGCAATTGAACTCCCTCAAAAGTCATGAAAGATGTTTCTACCTGTAATTTGAAAAATTAAGTTGCAGTTGAAAATCACATTTAGGATCTGATGATTCATCATTATTTAAAGTTAATTTGATAATAGATATAAGACAGGGATAAGTATTTAAGTAAATGAGTCATACTGTATTACAACGGATTAATCATAAACATTGTATTCATATTGCAAAAGATTTTTAAAATGTGGAATATTAGTTACTTATTTCCTAAAACAGCAAATTTAAAAATATTCTCTTTTGTAGCTGTAACAAACAACTTCATCCGTGAGGCTATTTTTACCAAAAAAAAAAACTGGACGTATCATTTTTAGGCGGGAGTAGAAGGAACTTAACCTTAAAAACAAAAGATACAGTTCCGAAATATAAAAAGTATTGTCCGTTACAGTGCTAAGAGAGTTGATATTAACGAGATATATTTGAAATTAACTCACGTTGTACATATTTGCCAGGCTTGCCCGTTGTGCCGGATCATCGAATAGCGTGTAATATTGTTGAATAAATCCTTTTCCGATGGCATCGTATTGTGGGTTTAGCGCCATTTATGTGTTTTTTAACTTTTCACAAGGAGTAATTTGCTAATAATATCTTAATTTGCAGGCCTTCGTATTTCACTTGCGTTGCCTTCACGCCGAAAAAATATGGCAGACTTAGTACTCAGTGTTGCTACCAGTTGCTAATTGCATTTACATAAAATAAAACAAAGTGGTGTTTTTTCTTGGGTACCTATAACAAACTTTTAGTAAATTATGTAAGCAGTGCACAAGTATAAAAAAATCCCAAAATTCGAAACACTTGAAACACGAATAATCGATGTTCATGTGTAGGCGCCTTCGATAGTCTTGGCCTATGGTGATCTGTGGTTTCGACAACTGACTGACTGACTGACAGTGACAATCTGGGAGGCAATAATGTACAGCCACGATAATGCACGACCCAATAATGCA